AAGACTACCTCCATACCATCACCACCACTAAATTTAGTATCAATTACTTCCAAACACAGTTGGCGATTGGGCCTTGTTAGTAACTTTTTAAACGAAAAACGATATCTTCCGCCGTTTTTTTTTTTTCACAGCTCGGAAAAAAATCATAGATTTTTTTAAGAAAAAAAAATTGTTTAAATTTATTTTTAATTTTTTTTATTTAATTTTATAATAATATTTTTTTGCAGACGAAATTGAAACCCATTTGACAATGAAGATATCAAAGGGTCTGACGAAACTAATAAATCATTTATGATATCTTCCATAATATTTTTCCTTAAATTTTTCCTTGTATTGCTCTAGCGTATGTTTCGATAGTCCTTGTTCCTGGCTTCAAGAGCTTCTTCGGACATTATACCAAGGTATCAGTTAAATGGTACCAAAGTATCAGTTAATTGGGTGTTATTATTATTTGATTTTGAAAACTTTCTGGGCGTGCTTCAATAATCCTAGCAATCATATGGTTTGTAATGGTACTTCAGCGAAATTATCAGTGACCGTCATGACACTAGGATAGTGTCACTAGGATAGTGTCAATGCTACGACAACGCAGTTTGTCGTAGCATGGATATATATCGACCCTTTAGCGGCTCTCTTTGACAAATTCCATGTGTACTTGATATGTCCAACATCTACAAATAGCGCCAGTGCTTTTTCATGAGACCTGCTTTAAAATAGCAATCGTAAGTTCAAATTTAAGAATTTCAGCTCTGTCTGTTCTCCAAATTGTACCAGATTTGGTACAATTCTGTACTTTTCATACACTCCCACAGTAACCTAAGTGGCAGCTTTCAGAATTCGAGTTCTAACCGTTCACTCAAGTCCACATTGTACCAAATTTTGTGCTTTTCGTACCCATAAGTACGAATTTCCAAAACTACCTCAGTCATGCACTCCAATAATAACCTTAAGTGCACATTTAAATATCCCAGCTCTATCCGTTCACCAGCATCCAAATTGTATCAAATTTAGTATCATTTATTACTTTTCGTAGACGTTAGTAGGAGGTTCTAAAACTTCTCAATTTCACACTCCAAAACTTTATTTTTAATGACAAATTTCAGGATCCCAGCCCTATCCGTTCATATAGATCCAAATTGTACCATATTTAGTACATATGAGTTCGAATTTCCAACACTGTCTCAATCCTGTATTCTAACAGTAATTTTATTATACCCTTCACAACACTGTGGTACAGGGTATTATGTCTTTGTGCATATATTTGTAACAGGCAAAAATAATCGAGATAGACCAATGGTTCCTTTTGAGAATATGCATAGACTCACTTTCTGAGTCGATTTATGCACCAAAGTCTCTGAAAATCATTTGATTTGTACGAATTGTGGCATAGCGTATTGAATTAAATCTAGAATGGCGTATGCTAAGTTTTGTGAAAATCGGTGCAGATTTAGATATAGCTTCCATATATAGTTTCACCCGATTTTAGGTAAATTGTGCACCAAAGTCTTTGCTAATTTTTTTATTGGCATAGATATATCGTAGCTTCCATATATAATTTCGAATTATTTATGTTTATTGTATACCACATAATCAATAGGTGTCTGATTGAGATTAAATTTTAAACAGTGCAGCATACCGAATAGAGTTTGTCAAGTTGGCTTTAAATCGATTTACACAAATCTGTCCCACTGAGCGCAAACGACTCTAAACTTGCCCAAATGAAATGAAATTTAGCATAGGTTCCAGAAAGACATTAAAATCACATATTTAAGTTCGTTCGATTTCATGTCAAAATTCCTTAAAAAAGGCGACGTCTTTTCGGATACATATGTAGAATATACCCAAAGTGGTGAAGGGTATCATACAGTCCGACTTTACTACTTTCCTTACTGGTTTTTATATATACGTTTTCCATCTCTATCCTTTTATTCAAATCTGAATTGTACTAAACTTAGTACCATTTAGTACACATAATTACGCATTTTTAAAACTAACTCCATGTCTCATCCTACAATCCAATCCTTAATTTTAATTCAAAATTTTATGATTCCCGCTCACACAAAACAAATTGTAACATATTTAGTACCATTTTGTGCTTCTCGTATCCATAAGTACATAATTCCAATACTACCTTAAATCTGTAATTTTTCATTCCAATTTTAAGTTTTCCATCTCTAACCGTTCACTCAAATCTATATTGTACCAAATTTAGTACCATTTAGTACACGTATTACGAATTTTCAAAACTACCCACATATCTCAATCCTGCATTCAAACTGTTATATTAATTCATAATTTCAGGATCTCGGCCCTATCCATTCACACAATTGTTCAACAATTTGTAAACCATTTGGTACCAGTTAGTACTTTTTTTTGTACACTCCAATAGTATTTTTAATTCGAAAATTCTGGAGTCCAGCTCTATCCGTTCACACATAATTAAGTTGTGCCAAATATAGAACCATTTAGTACACATAAGTACTATGCTTCCATATCTCAATTCTATATACCAACAGCAACCACTATTCCAAATTTTAGGTTTCCAGATCTCTCCATTCACCCAAATCCAAATTGTACCAAATTTAGTTCCGTTTAGTACTTTTCGTACATATAAATGCGAATTTCAACTGTAATCTTACTTCCAAATTTCATATATAAAATTTCAAGATTTTAGCTATATATGTTCAATATATGTAGAATTAGAACTACATTTAGTACTTTTAGTACACTTATAGGTCGAATTTCCAAAAACCCCTTTTGTACATCTTTCTAACTTTCCATCAGTGACCCACATTCCAAATTTCAGAATTCTAGCTCTTCCCGTTCGCCTAATACAAAGGGTACCATATTTCGTACATTTTAGTACTTTTCGTACCCTTCTAGTACGAATCTCCAAAAACCCAGCCTTATCTCACGCCTAAACACCAACAACAACCCACACTCAAAATTTCAAGCTTCTAGCTTTAGCCGTTTCGTCTGGGCGATGATCTGTCAGTCAGTCACTCACTCACTTAACACTAAGCTCTTTTATATATATAGATAATATTTGTTGACCCTAGTCGTTCAGGAGGGTGCAAATATCGCGAAGCTCACTTATTTTCGTGGAAGTTGTGTAGGGTATCATATGGTCGGCCCCGTCCGACTATATTGCTTCACTCTGTGGTTGAATGATTATTTTTTACAAGGCCTAGATAAGGCATAGGTTTTTTTGAAGAATATTTTTTACAGTGAATATATAGAGTGGCATTTTTAAAGAATATTTTTACAAGGTTATATAAGGCGTGGATTTTGTAAAGAATATTTTTTACAAGGCATGGATTTTTTAAAGAAAATTTTTACAAGGCATGGATTTTTTAAAGAATATTTTTTACAAGGCCTATATAAGGCATGGATTGTTTAAAAAGTATTTTTTATACAAGGCCTATATAAGGCGTGGATTTTTTACAGAGTATTTTTTATACAAGGATATAAGCGTGGATTTTTTAAAGAGTATTTTTAACTGTCCTTACAAGGAGTGTAATTTTTAAAGAGTATTTTTAAAAAAAAAAAGAGTGGATTTTTTACAGAGTATTTTTTATATAAGGCATGGAAGGGGTATATAAGGCGTGGATTTTTTACAGAGTATTTTTTATATAAGGCATGGAAGGGGTATATAAGGCGTGGATTTTTTAAAGAATATCTTCTGTAAGGTCTATATAAGGTGTGGATTTTTAAAAGAATATACTTTGGAAGGTCTATATAAGGCGTGGATTTCTTAAAGAATATATTTTGGAAGGTCTATATAAGGCGTGGATTTTTAAAAGAATATACTTTGGAAGGTCTATATAAGGCGTGGATTTCTTAAAGAATATTTTTAAAGAGTAGTTAATTCGCTTTATTTATTTATTTCTTTTTTTAATTTTTATTTCCATGTAAACCATGTCTACAAAGCCAACGCAAGCCGGCCACATAATAAGCCTTTTTATGTTTTCCATTTTAGCTTATTAAAAACAAAGAATAAAAGGGAAAATATGAAACCAGTTACTTAGCTGTTTTCTGTTTGGCGTTTTTAGTGTGTTGCTCTTGACATAAACAAAATATGGCTATTAAGGCAACATGGCAACGGCTTGGGTTGCTATAAAACATTCTGTATCGGTAAGAAACAAAATTCGGTTTAATATCAAAAAAAGGCAGAAGTTCATTAAATTCGTTAACACTCGCAAAGAAGCCCGGGAAATTAGAGATAGCCGGAAAATGGTAAGGAAAGAAAACAGAAAAATTAAAGGCAATAAATTTACATAAATTATTTTCCAAAAAAAAATATGTTATTTCCTTTATTGATTTATAATAGCCACCGAAGAAGAAATTGAGCAAAAAGGAAAAGGCCCGTTTGGAGGCCGAGCAGGCGGAATTGTTACGAATTGAAATGGAGAGGGAAAAGTAGGTGGCATAAAAAAATATTTCCCAGGATTTTTCATTTAACTTATCCTCCCAATTCCCTGAATTTCCCCCCTCTCCCTTTGCAGACTCAAAAAACTCGAAGAGGCTCGGCAGCGTCGCAAAATCGAACGCGAACAGGCCAAGCACCGTTTGCAAATGGAAATCCTGGAGAATAAACAACGTCGTTCGCAACTTAAAAACAGTATGGCCTTCTTCAATCAGGTACGTCAAACCATCGATGGGATAAAACGTATGGCCAAAGATGAAGTTGATTGGGAGAAATTTATGCGTTGTAATGGCCTACCGAATGCCAATAGCCCCAGTGATTTACGTAAATACATCCATCAATGGAAAATGGATGTAGAGAGGAGAAATCGCGAGTCGCGAAATTGGTTACTGAAGACCAACGAAAGAACGTTGTTAACACAGGATTTTACTGTGCCGGATCTTACCAAGGCAACGTTGCGAAAACAGCAGGGTAATTTGGGTGATGTCTATGCCCAGCGTGTCAAGGAGATATTGGGAGTAAGTACAATTTAATGATACGATAATGGATATGCGCGAGCTTAGGTTCATATTAAATATATTTGACAACGGTCTATTGGAGGACCAACACAAGACGTTGATTTTTAAAAGAATATTTTTTCAAGGGTCACTACAAGGCGTGGTTTTTTTAAAGAATATTTTTCCAAGGGTCACTGCAAGGCGTTGATTTTTTAAAGAATATTTTTTCAAGGGTCATAACACAAGGCGTGGATTTTTTAAAGAATATTTTCTGAAGGCCCAAAACAAAGCGTGGTTTTTGTATAGAATATTTTCTGAAGGCCCAAAACAAGGCGTGGATTTTTTAAAGAATATTTTCTGAAGGACCAAAAAAAAACGTGGATTTTTTAAAGATTTTTTTCTCAAGGACCAAAACAAGGCGTGGATTTTTTAAAGAATTTTTTCTCAAGGACCAAAACAAGGCGTGGATTTTTTAAAGAATTTTTTCTCAAGGACCAAAACAAGGCGTGGATTTTTTAAAGAATTTTTTCTCAAGGACCAAAACAAGGCGTGGATTTTTTAAAGAATTTTTTCTCAAGGACCAAAACAAGGCGTGGATTTTTTAAAGAATTTTTTCTCAAGGACCAAAACAAGGCGTGGATTTTTTAAAGAATTTTTTCTCAAGGACCAAAACAAGGCGTGGATTTTTTATAGAATATTTTTTCAAGGGTCACTACAAGGCGTGGATTTTTTAAAGAATATTTTTTCAAGGGTCATAACACAAGGCGTGGATTTTTTAAAGAATTTTTTCTCAAGGACCAAAACAAGGCGTGGATTTTTTATAGAATATTTTTTCAAGGGTCACTACAAGGCGTGGATTTTTTAAAGAATATTTTTTCAAGGGTCATAACACAAGGCGTGGATTTTTTAAAGAATATTTTTTTAAAGGGTCATAACACAAGGCGTGGATTTTTTAAAGAATTTTTTCTCAAGGACCAAAACAAGGCGTGGATTTTTTAAAGAATTTTTTCTCAAGGACCAAAACAAGGCGTGGATTTTTTAAAGAATATTTTTTCAAGGGTCATAACACAAGGCGTGGATTTGTTAAAGAATTTTTTCTCAAGGACCAAAACAAGGCGTGGATTTTTTAAAGATTTTTTTCTCAAGGACCAAAACAAGGCGTGGATTTTTTAAAGATTTTTTTCTCAAGGACCAAAACAAGGCGTGGATTTTTTATAGAATATTTTTTCAAGGGCCTCCACAAGTTGGGGATTTTTTAAAGAATATTTTTTCAAGGGTCATAACACAAGGCGTGGATTTTTTAAAGAATATTTTTTCAAGGGTCATAACACAAGGCGTGGATTTTTTAAAGAATATTTTTTCAAGGGTCATAACACAAGGCGTGGATTTTTTAAAGAATATTTTTTCAAGGGTCATAACACAAGGCGTGGATTTTTTAAAGAATATTTTTTCAAGGACCAAAACAAGGCGTGGATTTTTTAAAGAATTTTTTCTCAAGGACCAAAACAAGGCGTGGATTTTTTAAAGATTTTTTTCTCAAGGACCAAAACAAGGCGTGGATTTTTTAAAGATTTTTTTTCTCAAGGACCAAAACAAGGCGTGGATTTTTTATAGAATATTTTTTCTCAAGGACCAAAACAAGGCGTGGATTTTTTATAGAATATTTTTTCAAGGGTCACTACAAGGCGTGGATTTTTTAAAGAATATTTTTTCAAGGGTCATAACACAAGGCGTGGATTTTTTAAAGAATATTTTTTTAAAGGGTCATAACACAAGGCGTGGATTTTTTAAAGAATATTTTTTCAAGGCGCGGATTTTTTAAAGAATATTTTTTCAAGGCGTGGATTTTTTAAGGAATATTTTTTCAAGGCGCGGATTTTTTAAGGAATATTTTTTCAAGGCGCGGATTTTTTAAAGAATATTTTTTCAAGGCGTGGATTTTTTAAAGAATATTTGCTGAAGGATCAAACCAAGGCGTGGGTTTTTTAAAGAATATTTTCTGAAGGACCAAAACAAGGCTTTTAAAAATATTTTCGAAAGGACCAACCAAAGGACCAAAGTTTTTAAAGAATGTTTTCTGAAGGGTTGTCAAATTTTCCTACCATCCTACCCGCCATTGTTGAAGGTCCTCAACGATTAAGAGTCCACCTTATGGCTTAGCCCTTATTTTCAGTACTTCTGAATTTTTGGAAACTTAATCTTAAATAAAGGTAAACTTTTTGATATAACCCTCTTATAATTTTGATCTTTTAGATCCTCCAAGAACTCAATGATGCTCTCAATGACAAGACCAAACCTCAGCATACCCTAACCGATCTGGGTAAACTTAAGACAGAAATACGAATTTTACTCAAAGAATATTTGGATGATTTTACCTACAAGACCATGTCGCATGTGGAAAGGGATATGGAGTAAGTAGAGACAAATAGCAATTCAATTTATTCAAATAAAATAACCTCCTTCTCCAGGATTGATCGACCAGGAGTATCAAAACACATCTACGATTCGGAAGTATTCAAAAGTTTTATATGGACTTTCTCCAAGGATGCACAGATGTAAGTAGGACAATTTTTGAAATTGGAAGCTATTTTCTAATGACTTTATTCTGCAGTTCCCTTAGCGCCAAACCGAGAATCGGGGAGCAAAATCTACACAATGAAATTGAGTTCCCCTTGATGAAAATGTTATTATCCTTACCACCATCGGTAACACTTTACAGCTCCGCCTTAAGGGGTCTATGGTTAAACTATGATCACCTAAGCGATTATTGTCCAAGTTTTAATTTGAAGAAACCCCGATCACCGCATATAAGTAAATCGAATAACACTTCTACGGGTTTCCGATTCTAAAAGAAAAATACTTTCTCCTCCTTCCAGATATGTTACACCAAACAAAAAGAGAATGGCGTAAACGCAAAGAGATCCTGCAAAATATGTTGGATGAATGTTCGAAGGAAATTCCGCTGCATGAATTGGAACAATACGAACAAGAGGGTGCCAATCAAAAGTCAAGGGAGAAAAATCTCGATGTGGACAAGCTGTATTTGGAATATGAAGATGAATTAAATAAGCTGAGACGCAAAGCAATTGGTCCGGAAAGTTTTGGCCTCTTAGATACTGATGTTAATTTGAGGAAATATCGCATCATTGGTGGTGTCTATTGTTTGGATTATTTGGAAACACCGCAGCAGGATAAGCAGTTGAATTCACGGTCCTTTATAAGGACGAGTAAGTTGAAGAGAGGGCTGAAAAATAATTGGGATCACTATAATAATGAAAAGTGGACGACAGCGACTAAGGGGTTCCCCATTCTGAACGGGGCATATTCTTTAAAAAATCCACGCTTCTGCTAACCCTTGAGAAAATATTCTTTAAAAAATCCACGCTTCTGCTAACCCTTGAGAAAATATTCTTTAAAAAATCCACGCTTCTGCTAACCCTTGAGAAAATATTCTTTAAAAAATCCACGCTTCTGCTAACCCTTGAGAAAATATTCTTTAAAAAATCCACGCTTCTGCTAACCCTTGAGAAAATATTCTTTAAAAAATCCACGCTTCTGCTAACCCTTGAGAAAATATTCTTTACAAAATCCACGCTTCTGCTGAGCCTTGAGAAAATATTCTTTAAAAAATCCACGCTTCTGTTGAGCCTTGAGAAAATATTCTTTAAAAAATCCACGCTTCTGCTAACCCTTGAGAAAATATTCTTTAAAAAATCCACGCTTCTGCTAACCCTTGAGAAAATATTCTTTAAAAAATCCACGCTTCTGCTAACCCTTGAGAAAATATTCTTTAAAAAATCCACGCTTCTGCTAACCCTTGAGAAAATATTCTTTAAAAAATCCACGCTTCTGCTAACCCTTGAGAAAATATTCTTTAAAAAATCCACGCTTCTGCTAACCCTTGAGAAAATATTCTTTAAAAAATCCACGCTTCTGCTAACCCTTGAGAAAATATTCTTTAAAAAATCCACGCTTCTGCTAACCCTTGAGAAAATATTCTTTAAAAAATCCACGCTTCTGCTAACCCTTGAGAAAATATTCTTTAAAAAATCCACGCTTCTGCTAACCCTTGAGAAAATATTCTTTAAAAAATCCACGCTTCTGCTAACCCTTGAGAAAATATTCTTTAAAAAATCCACGCTTCTGCTAACCCTTGAGAAAATATTCTTTAAAAAATCCACGCTTCTGCTAACCCTTGAGAAAATATTCTTTAAAAAATCCACGCTTCTGCTAACCCTTGAGAAAATATTCTTTAAAAAATCCACGCTTCTGCTAACCCTTGAGAAAATATTCTTTAAAAAATCCACGCTTCTGCTAACCCTTGAGAAAATATTCTTTAAAAAATCCACGCTTCTGCTAACCCTTGAGAAAATATTCTTTAAAAAATCCACGCTTCTGCTAACCCTTGAGAAAATATTCTTTAAAAAATCCACGCTTCTGCTAACCCTTGAGAAAATATTCTTTAAAAAATCCACGCTTCTGCTAACCCTTGAGAAAATATTCTTTAAAAAATCCACGCTTCTTCTGACCCTTGAAGAAATATTCTTTAAAAAATCCACGCTTCTGCTAACCCTTGAGAAAATATTCTTTACAAAATCCACGCTTCTGCTGAGCCTTGAGAAAATATTCTTTACAAAATCCACGCTTCTGTTGAGCCTTGAGAAAATATTCTTTAAAAAATCCACGCTTCTGCTAACCCTTGAGAAAATATTCTTTAAAAAATCCACGCTTCTGCTAACCCTTGAGAAAATATTCTTTAAAAAATCCACGCTTCTGCTAACCCTTGAGAAAATATTCTTTAAAAAATCCACGCTTCTGCTAACCCTTGAGAAAATATTCTTTAAAAAATCCACGCTTCTGCACACCTCTGAGGAAATTTTCTTTAAAAAATCCACCCTTCTGCACACCTCTGAGGAAATATTCGCTAAAAAATCCACGCTTCTGCTACCCCTTGTGCAAATATTCGTTAAAAAATCCACGATTCCTTTGACCCTTGAAAAAATATTCTTTTAACAATTCCCACTTCTGATAGTCCTCTGGTAATCCTCCCAAAATATTCAATTTTTTACGATTTAGTTTTAGCTCCAAACAAACTCTCCCATAAGGTGTATTATCAGACCTATAAACCCCCACCACCTCCCTTGCCGGGTGTTAGACGATTGCCGGAAGAAATTGAGGCTGAGATGCGTATGGTGGAGGCAGCTTTGGATAAATTGGCCTTGGTTACAGTGGAGTAAGTTAGAACCATATGTAAATATAACACCCCTCGATAATTCCGTCATTCCTTCTCCGCAAAGCTTACCCGACAGTGTTATATGGTTCGAGCCCCCCATTGCCTGTCGTTGGGAAACTCAAATGGAAACTCTCGAAGCCGATTTAATGGATGGGGCAAAACCAACAACAAACAGTAACAACACCACCGAAGCAACACCCATACCCACAACCACAAATGCCAGCCCCCTTAAAAGCCTGTCACCCCGTTTCCCCTTATCGAAGTTACGTAAGAAGAGTTCACAAAAATCTGCTGCCGGTGCCACCGGCAACTTACCCGTGAGAGAAATTACCGACTTCGATATGTTTAATATTCCCAGTGATATCGATATTTATGGTTTGGTAAAAGATTTCATTGTACCTCGAATACCACAAGGATTTTGTGTTCGATTCGATACCGAACGCCTTAAACAATTCCAACAGCAACAACGTAAGGCGCGTAAGCATAACAAGCGATGGAAACAGCCAAGGCGTCTGCTGTATTTGGCTAAGCCTAAAAATGTAACATTTACACCAATTCCCATTAGGTCGGTGGCCACCACCACAACCACCACCGCCGACCACGGAACCTCAAAGAGCTCTTGTTCCAGTAGCTTTGATAATGATATGGCTGAGGAAAAAATGGTTGTGGTTGTGATGGAAGAAACAACAACACCACCAACAGTAACCGGCACCAATGGCAATGCTGCAAAGGCTCAAAACACATTGGAAAATCTACTGCAAAGATCTCGCATTACTGAGGATTTTCTAGATTTGGATGAGCCTCGGGAATTCTTTCCAAGTGTTCAATTTGAAAAAGTATTAAAAATAAAACCTTATCCAGCCGCAGCAGCAGCAGCGACACCAATCACCATTGACGACAATGACAAACACAGAGTGGCAGATACATTGGATTTAAAACAAAACCGTCGTCCTAGTGAAACATCCTATAAGGATGAGAAAACCAAAGCTGTCAGTCGTAACAGCAGTAAGGGTAGCTTAGCAAGTGACAAGAGTTCACAAAGTAAACGTAGCGTTCATACAGTGGGTAGTGAAGTATCAAGGCGATCGTCATCGAACCAGAGTGATTCAAAGGAAACGGAAGAGGATAGGGAGTTAACTTCGTATATGTTTTCGCAATTAATAGAGGTAAGTCCTCAACAAAATTCTATAAAAAACACAGGATTTCCATCCCTTGAAATGGCCTACTAAAAATATTCTATTAAAAATCCACGCCTTGTAATGGCCTTCTAAAAATATTGCGCAGTTTTTCCAATTTGAAAGACCATTTTCGGCAATGTTGTCTTTGACTTGATCTTTCCATCGTATTCTTGGCCTTCCCCTTCTGCGTGAACCATCAGCTGGTTCGCTTTTATATGCCTTCTGGGCTGGGGTATCTTCATCCATTCTCACAACATGGCCTAACCAACGTAGTCGCTGCAGCTCAATACGTCTGACTATGTCGATGTCCGAGAATAGATGGTACAACTTATGGTTCATTCGATGGAAATATTCACCATCGACGCAGATCGTCCATAGATCGTTCGGAGAAATTTCTCTCAAACACCCCAAGAACTGTCTCAGCTGCTTGCGCAAGTACCCATGCTTCAGATCCATATAACAGCACGGGTAGTATCAGCGTCTTGTAAAGTGCGAGTTTGGTCTGGCGGCAGGTGGCCTTGTTTCTAAACTGCTTACTTAGACCATAGTAGCATCTGTTGCCCATCACAATCCTTCTCCGAATTTCAAAACTGATGTCATTCGTTTTGTTTATGGCGGTGCCAAGGTATATAAAATCTTTAACTACCTCGAAGCTGTATTTCTCAAGTTCCACAGTTGGTCCGAGTCTACTGGACGTCTTGCGTGTTGATACCATCAGCATGGTCTTCTCGCCGTTTACTACCAGACCCACTTTTGCAGACTCCTCAATTTGTTCAAAGGTGGCTGTTACCGCTCGCAATGTTCGACTCATTATATCGCTGTCATCGGCGTAGGCGAGTAACATGTGTTGTTTGATGTACAGAGTGCCATTTCTGTTCACCTTTGCGTCTCGTATGAGCTTTTCCAGTAGAATTTTAAAAAGATCACACGACAAACTGTCACCTTATCTGAATCCTCTTTCGGCATTGAAGGGCTCCGATAGGTCCTTTCCGACTTTAACTGCTGACCTTGTGCCACTTAAAGTTATCCTGCATAGCCGTATTATATTTGCAGCAATGCTGAACGTAGACATGGCTTTAAACACCTTTGAACGGATAGGACTGTCGAACGCGGCTTTATAATCGACGAATAGGTGGTATGTGTCGATGTGTTTTTCGTGGGACTTTTCCAGAATTTTGCGCAGAGTGAAAATCTGGTCAATGGTGGATTTGCCAGGTCTGAAGCCACATTGATATTGTTCAATAATGTCATTGCCCATTGGCTTCAGTCGTTCACACAGCACACTGGATATCACTTTATATGCTATGGGAAGAAGGCTAATTACTCTCTAGTTGGCACATGTCGTCTTGTCTCCTTTTTTATGCACGGGACCCAGAATGCTGAGGTTCCAATTATTGGACATACATTCCTCTAGCCAAATTGTACTAATCAGATGGTGCATGTTCCTGACCAGCATCTGACCACCAGTCTTGAATAGTTCGGCTGGTAACCCGTCGGCTCCTGCTGCTTTATTGTTCTTGAGCCGATTAATTGCTTTTATGACCTCATCTTGGCTAGGTGGTATACATTCTATACCGTCATCTCTTATTGGTTCTGCGGTATCTTCTTCACCGCCACTATTTGATACCAGAAGCTGCTCCTTCCAGATCCTCAACACGCTGTCTGTATCTGTCACCAGGTTTCCTTCTTCATCTCTACGTGAGGATGTACCTGCACCAAAAACATCCGGTTTGGTGTTTTACGCGTTGGCAACATTTCCGGACTTCATTCTGACTCCTGTACATCTCGATTTGCTCACGCTTACGTTTTACTTGTTCTTTCTTCTTAAAATACGATTCTCCTCTCTCCTGATATTTCTCCATCGCATTCCGTGTTGCTACAGGGTTGCCCTATACGCCGCGTTTTTCAGATCAGCAGCATTACGACACTCCTGATCGTACCATGGATTTCTTGGTGGTGGTTTTTGGTACCCAAGTGTTGCTTTTGCTGCAGTATGTAGGGAGTTGGCGATTCTTTGACATTGTGTTTCGATATTATTATCGGGACAAGGGGTGCTTTCGTCAAGCAGGTGAATATGTTGAGCGGAGTAGGCCTCGGCTACCTGTTGTGTTTTTCGACACCGAGTTTCCGTGTTGCGTTAGATCGCACCTTTGTTGCAACATTAGCACGAGTGCGAACCTTGGCTGCTACAACGTAATGGTCCGAATCGATATTCGCTCCCCACATCGATCGGAAGTCTAAAACACTGGTTGAATGCCTTCCGTCTATCACAACATGATTGATTTGATTTCTCGTTGTACGATCGGGAAAAATCCAAGTGGCCTTGTGTATATCGAGATGCTTGAATGTGGTGCTACTGCTAACTACCATGTTTTTTTACTGCCACGAAGTCAATCAACCTCATGCCGTTGTAGGATGTTTCTTCGTGGAGGTTGAATTTTCCGACAGTGGGACCAAAAATGTGTGTATATCGAGATGCTTGAATCTGGTGGTGCTAGCTACCATGTTTTTTGCTGCCGCGAAGTTAATCAACCTCATGCCGTTGATTAATGTTTCTTTGTGGAGGTTGAATTTTCGACAGTGGGACCAAAAATATGTCCCCCTTCGATTTTTGCATTAAAATCTCCTAGCAGAATTCTAATGTCGTGGCCAGGGCAGAGATCATATGCTGTTTCGAGGCGCTCGTAAAAAATATCTTTGGTCTGTTCATCTTTATCTTCGGTCGGAGCATGGGCGCAAATGAGACTGATGTAGAAGAACTTCGCTTTTATACGGATTATAGCAATTCGCTCATGTACTGGAGTGAATCTGGAGACGAGGTCTTTTATTTTCCTCCTGTCTCATTTCATGGCAGCCATAATATCGTATTTCCTGTAAGGCAATAATATCGACTTTGTACTTCTTGAGTACTTCCCCCAAGGCGAACACTGCGCCTGTTCTGTACAAGATGCGCACATTCCAAGTGCAGATTCGCAGATCGTGTTCCCTTATACGTTTGCGGGGGTCGTAGTAAGAGGGATTTTCCGAGTGTGGACAACTAACCCGACGCCTCAACCCATTTTTTTTTAGTTCTTATGGGTGAACTTGCGGCACATGTCAGCTCTTTATTTCAACGGGTGATAAAAATAGCTACCCTAGGTTACACCGCGGTGTGGTCAGTGTCCACAATTGAGATGAAAGAGATAAGCCTGGACTTCGCCATGTTAAAGCCAATCAGAGCCATTGCTTGATATCTATTATACCCTACGCCACCCCTGCCACGCCTTATTTAGTCGCAGAACAAAATATTTTTAAAAATCCAGGTCTTATTTAGTCCTATAAAATATTTTTTTTTTCAATAAAGGCCTCAAAAAATGTCTAAAAAATCTTCGCGTAGTACAGACTTCGAAAAAACAATCTTCAAAAAATCACAGCTTGTGTTGTTATTAAGAAATATGGCAACCCTGTTTGGTATCCCATTACTACACTCTATTAAATTGGATTTTAAAAATATTATTGGCAAATCAATCAAACAAATTAATCATCGTTAATATTGAATGATTTCCGCTCTATAATTTTTATATTACCACTCAATAAATGAGAAAGCTAAAAATAAGCTACAGACATTAGGGTGGGTCAGTAAAAATTGGCAGAATTATGAAAAAATATGAAAAACTATCATTCCCAGTTTCTTTTTTAATTAAAAATACCAACTTTTTTATAGCCTGCCGTTTATTTTGCTCCTGAACCACCCTAATAAGCAAATTAAAAATATATATATGTAAATTTGCATCTGTGTCTATATTTAAATTTTCTTGTTTTGTTTTTCATTTCCCCGCCCCCAACACCAAACGAATGCATGAATGACTTTCCAATCAACAATCATAATATTTTATGACATTCATGTATCCTGTCGACACAAAAAATAACAACAACAACACGAACAACAACAATATTCAATGGCAACTCAATCATCAATCTGTGTTTCCAACCAACCGTTCCACCTCCTCCTGGGCGGTCCTCTCCCACTGCTGTTTTGCCACGAAAAACACGTTGGGAAAAATCAAATAAAATGTGAAACCAACAACAACACTCACTCACAATTACTTTGACTAACAACCAATCCACACACACACATTTTCACCCACATACACACTCACACACACAAAACGACAAAAATCCCCATCGAAATCCAAAAATTGCTACTCTCTGTGTTGATGAGTGGGTAAACAGGACTTGGATCGTTTGTGCGAATTACAAATGCCACTGCAGGGTGAAGCTTTAGAAAAGATTTCAGCAAATCTAATGGGGAGAAATGGCAGCAATAACAACAAAAACAACAACAATAATGGGAATGGAGGTGGCAGCGGTGGAGCTACGTCTCCCAACACCATGGAAGGTGGCGCAGCTCAATCTTCGCCTGCAACTATACCAGGTGGCAATGCAGCCGCAGCAGCTGCAGATACTGGTGCCAACAACGCTTCAGGTCTTGCCTACTATTCGGGTATATCTTTTATACGTGATTCCGATGCCATGCCAGGTGGAGAGGAGCAGAACGCCGAGGATGAGGAGGAGGTCCTATTAGATGATGAAAGTAGTTCGGATGATGAATATGATGATGATGAAGAGGATGATGATGAATATCTTTTATATGATACAATGAATACTAATGGCACGGGAGTGGGTGGTGGTGGAGGTGCGGGTCTGAATGATCCAACCATAACCACGGATGACAATCTAACATATCGCAGTGATGCAAGTGGTGGCACCAGTGCCGGTGGTAAAGAAGGAGGATTGCAAGATTTTTTGAAAACCCATGCAGCTAACAGCAATAGTGGCAGTCTGGCGAATGGGTAAGTGACAGGTATTAATATTCTAAATGGGGTAAAGAGGCACAATTTTAACAACCCTTAAAAATGAATCTTTAAAAAATCCACGCCTTGTATAGACCTTGAAAAATGCATCTTAAAAAATCCACGCCTTGTATAGACCTTGAAAAATGAATCTTTAAAAAATCCACGCCTTGTATAGACCTTGAAAAATGAATCTTTAAAAAATCCACGCCTTGTATAGACCTTGAAAAATGAATCTTTAAAAAATCCACGCCTTGTATAGACCTTGAAAAATGAATCTTTAAAAAATCCACGCCTTGTATAGACCTTGAAAAATGAATCTTTAAAAAATCCACGCCTTGTATAGACCTTGAAAAATGAATCTTTAAAAAATCCACGCCTTGTATAGACGACCTTGAAAAATGAATCTTTAAAAAATCCACGCCTTGTATAGACGACCTTGAAAAATGAATCTTTAAAAAATCCACGCCTTGTATAGACCTTGAAAAATGAATTTTTAAAAAATCGACGCCTTGTATAGACCTTGAAAAATGAATCTTTAAAAAATCCACGCCTTGTATGGGCCTTGAAAAATGAATCTTTAAAAAATTCACGCCTTGTATGGGCCTTGAAAAATGAATCTTTAAAAAATCCACGCCTTGTATGGGCCTTGCAAAATGAATCTTTAAAAAATCCACGCCTTGTATAGACCTTGAAAAATGAATCTTTAAAAAATCCACGCCTTGTATAGGCCTTGAAAAAGTAATCTTTAAAAAATCCAAGCCTTGTATAGACCTTGAAAAATGAATCTTTAAAAAATCCACGCCTTGTACAGACCTTGAAAAATGAATCTTTAAAAAATCCACACCTTGTATAGACCTTGAAAAATGAATCTTTAAAAAATCCACGCCTTGTACAGACCTTGAAAAATGAATCTTTAAAAAATCCACGCCTTGTATAGACGACCTTGAAAAATGAATCTTTAAAAAATCCACGCCTTGTATAGACGACCTTGAAAAATGAATCTTTAAAAAATCCACGCCTTGTATAGACCTTGAAAAATGAATCTTTAAAAAATCCACACCTTGTATAGACCTTGAAAAATGAATCTTTAAAAAATCCACACCTTGTATAGACCTTGAAAAATGAATCTTTACAAAATCCACGCCTTGTATGGGCCTTGAAAAATTAATTTTTAAAAAATCCACGCCTTGTATGGGCCTTGAAAAATTAATCTTTAAAAAATCCACGCCTTGTATAGACCTTGAAAATTGGATCTTTAAAAAATCCACCCCTTGTATAGGCCCAAAAAAAATATTTAAAAAATGCTCGTCTTACTATGGTTCGAAAATCGTTAAACAATCCAAAGAGAGATTGTCCTGTCATAGTGTTCAACTTTTTCATATCCTCCTTTACAACGAAATTCATCGGAATTGAGGACAGTAACATTTAAAAGACCATTGAAGACAATTGAGAAATTAATTGTAGTGTAACATGAATGTGCTTAGCCACTGCTAGTGATGACAATGGGGTACTTTCGTAACGCTTTTGTTGTTCTTGTCGGCGTTTTTATTGTCTCCTCCAAATTGAGTCATTCAAATGTAAGGATTGCTCGTTTCCTTCCTACACCCACACACACACACCAAATGTTATTTCTACAAACAACTTGGTCGATTGATGTCAATTGGATTGTATCTGGCAATTGTTTTTCTTGTTGTTGCAGGCGTCGAACACTTCGTCGGTATGTTGTTCGTTGTCGATGTTCAAAAAATGAAACGAATCTCAGAATTGCTTTGAATTGATTTAATTGCATTGCAAGTGACATTGGAACAAAGGATTTGTTTTTGAAAGAGAGGTACATACACACAATATGTGTGTGTATATACGAGAAAGGATATAACAAATTATTGCATAACAATATAAAAGGATATTTGTTTAAGAATTTAATAAACAGCAGATTTCTTTTCCTAGAATATTTTATTAGGGATTACATGTGAAAATTTTTAAATTTCTTTTCCAAGGACTATTCACAGCGTAGCATTTTAAAGGACATTTTTCCAAGGACTATTAACAGATAGGATGTCTTAAATAATAATTTTCCGTACTATATACAGCGTGGATACAGAATAATAGAAGAACAATCCGAGCATTTTTTGCCTAATATAATTTCCTTCACCTCCCCCCATACCTCACGGAAGAAAAAAATCCAAAAACCAATAACTTCAAAACTAAATTCAAAAAACATTTTCTTTTTTTTTTTTTGCATTTTACCATTTCTAGGAAAAAGTCAAAACTGTCAAATCCAGCCGCTACCTTTACCGAAGGCAAATGGAGTACACGAGATGTACATGATACCAAATTCAATGAGGATAAACTTTCCATACAATTTCGAACAGGTCGTTTAGGTAAGATTAGAACGAGCACACACACAAACAAATGCCACCACAACGTAAACACACACACCTAAATACCCACACTTTTGTGCTACATGGTAGTGCACTTAAATCCTAAGGCATAAAAACCACTCAACAACCAAACAACTGCACCACCCTACCCCATGAAGACGGTGTTCAATATGTAGATCCAGAATATTTTTTTGAAAGTTACATGCAGGAGTATAACAGCGATTCCAACATGTCTAGCTTATTGATATTCGATGCTGTTAACAATAAAACCAACAACATTTTTTTTTACTCTCCATCTCGATTGCATCTCTGCTGAAAATGCGATTGCCAACAACAACATAAATTTTAACGTTATGTCAACAAGGAATTTTTGGATTTGCCTTAAACCGATACAGCAATATGCCCTATCAGACATGGGAAATAAAACCGGATTTGAAAAAGTGAGTAGGGCACAGTGGATAAATATGACCAGAGTCAATATTTGGCAATAGTATTGACTCGAGTCAATAGAATTGACTAAAAGTCAATAGTATTGACTAGAAGTCAATAGTATTGACTAGAAGACAATAGTATTGACTAGAAGTCAATAGTATTGACTAGAAGACAATAGTATTGACTAGAAGTCAATAGTATTGACTAGAAGTCAATAGTATTGACTAGAAGTCAATAGTATTGACTAGAAGTCAATAGTATTGACTAGAAGTCAATAGTATTGACTAGAAGTCAATAGTATTGACTAGAAGTCAATAGTATTGACTAGAAGTCAATAGTATTGACTAGAAGTCAATAGTATTGACTAGAAGTCAATAGTATTGACTAGAAGTCAATAGTATTGACTAGAAGTCAATAGTATTGACTAGAAGTCAATAGTATTGACTAGAAGTCAATAGTATTGACTAGAAGTCAATAGTATTGACTAGAAGTCAATAGTATTGACTAGAAGTCAATAGTATTGACTAGAAGTCAATAGTATTGACTAGAAGTCAATAGTATTGACTAGAAGTCAATAGTATTGACTAGAAGTCAATAGTATTGACTAGAAGTCAATAGTATTGACTAGAAGTCAATAGTATTGACTAGAAGTCAATAGTATTGACTAGAAGTCAATAGTATTGACTAGAAGTCAATAGTATTGACTAGAAGTCAATAGTATTGACTAGAAGTCAATAGTATTGACTAGAAGTCAATAGTATTGACTAGAAGTCAATAGTATTGACTAGAAGTCAATAGTATTGACTAGAAGTCAATAGTATTGACTAGAAGTCAATAGTATTGACTAGAAGTCAATAGTATTGACTAGAAGTCAATAGTATTGACTAGAAGTCAATAGTATTGACTAGAAGTCAATAGTATTGACTAGAAGTCAATAGTATTGACTAGAAGTCAATAGTATTGACTAGAAGTCAATAGTATTGACTAGAAGTCAATAGTATTGACTAGAAGTCAATAGTATTGACTAGAAGTCAATAGTATTGACTAGAAGTCAATAGTATTGACTAGAAGTCAATAGTATTGACTAGAAGTCAATAGTATTGACTAGAAGTCAATAGTATTGACTAGAAGTCAATAGTATTGACTAGAAGTCAATAGTATTGACTAGAAGTCAATAGTATTGACTAGAAGTCAATAGTATTGACTAGAAGTCAATAGTATTGACTAGAAGTCAATAGTATTGACTAGAAGTCAATAGTATTGACTAAAAGTCAATAGTATTGACTAGAAGTCAATAGTATTGACTAGAAGTCAATAGTATTGACTAGAAGTCAATAGTATTGACTAAAAGTCAATAGTATTGACAAGAAGTCAATAGTATTGACTAAAAGTCAATTGTATTGACTAGAAGTCAATAGTATTGACTAGAAGTCAATTGTATTGACTAGAAGTCAATAGTATTGACTAGAAGTCAATTGTATTGACTAGAAGTCAATTGTATTGACTAGAAGTCAATAGTATTGACTAGAAGTCAATAGTATTGACTAGAGTCAATTAAAAAAATTTTTAGGTAGTTTGTTCCCACTGTCCAATTTACAAATTGTAACTGTTGTTCATTTGTTTTTCTTCCATTACCACACCCACCATTCAGTCCTGGGACAATTCTCTTCAGTTTCACAGCATCATTGGTTAGTCTCGATATAACCATAACCTCTGAGGGTTATTGTGTCAATAATTTTCAAGGTGGCTCAACCACTGCCATTAATGAGATGATTGGTCGAACATTGTCATTAGAGGCGATTAAAGAGATTTTGATTTCTTCGGCGGTCGATATATTCCCCGATGAGGATGCCTTCTGTTATACGGAGGGTTCGTGCGAGAAGAACTATGTCATGGAAATGCATTTGTATGCGTGTATGTCAACATTGGCCCTATCACACAATTTCAGTTGGTCACGTTGGAATCTGTTGGCTGGTAGCCGGACTGCGGTCTTGTTAATCCGTGAATTGATCGAAGGTAAAAAAGTGGTAAGTGACAAAGAAGAGGCGAACAATGAAAAATAAACAAATTAAATGAGGAAACATGATTCGATTAGTGGAAGTGTGAGAGAGTGAATGAGTGAGGTATTTTGGGAGGAAATTTGTCGGGAGATAAAAACATCTTAAATTTAAAACGAATTTAAACAGCTTACCATTTGAGATTAAATTTTTAAAGATGCTCACCTGAAAGAGAAGAAACATAAATTAATTAAATTTTAAATGCAGCAATAAATCTTTATTTTTTAATTTTTCTAGCCCAACCACTCTACATTGTTGGTAACCCCCTTGAAGACAGCCATTATCGATTGCACCGAAGTTTCGGCCAGTTTTAATTCACTGGGTATCACTGGTATGGAATATTATGCCGATCTTTATCAATTGGCACAAGTCCATGCCCAACCATGTAGCCTTGAGAAACAACGTACCATGGATCCAATGCTGCGGGACAATGTAGCCACTATATTAATGGCAATACGACCCTTGAGTTTTTGTTAAATTTTTTGGCGAAAAAAGAGAAAGAACATCAGCGAAGGTATTTTAATGTAATTTATGTCAGCCAAAAAACACTAAATCATAAGAACGAGAGAAAACAACGACACTAAACGTTATAACGCTCATCGAGCGAAGACAAAGAATGGAAAAAACAAAATTAAAAAATATTCCATGTATTTTTTACTATTGCCGGTAACGAGAACCAGCATATACACACAAAAAGTATACAGACAGCCACCATTAGCCAGAAGCAGCAGCAGGTACATCAGCAGTCTTCAAACCTTATTTTGTGCATGAGAAGAGAAGTGAAAAAAAACCTAACTGGAAATCGGGTTAAGTGAGCCTTTTGTCATGAGCAATTTTCAGAACAAATGACTTGGCAAGCAATTAACGAAGCGTGGCTAAACGTGTTAACTTACACGGAGAAATGTCTGCGATATTATATAAAGAAGCAATTAAATATTTAATTTTATACATACAAATAAAAATGCATACAAAATAAAAATAAACAACAAGAAGAAGAATTTTCACTCTGGTTAAAATACTGACTATAGTCAATAATCTTTACTCTTGTCAATAACATTGACTTTGGTTAAAAATCATGACTCTTGTGGGTAACATCGACTCTTGTTGGTAATATTGACTCTGGTCAATACTATTGACTCGGGTCAATACTATTGACTCATGTCAATACTATTGACTCATGTCAATACTATTGACTCATGTCAATTCTATTGACTATTGACTCGGGTCAATAATATTGACTCCGAGTATTGACTCTTGTCAATACTATTGACTCTTGTCGATACTACTTACTCTTGTCAATACTATTTACTCTTGTCAATACTATTGACTGTGGTCAATACTATTGACTGTGGTCAATACTATTGACTGTGGTCAATACTATTGACTGTGGTCAATACTATTGACTGTGGTCAATACTATTGACTGTGGTCAATACTATTGACTGTGGTCAATACTATTGACTGTGGTCAATACTATTGACTGTGGTCAATACTATTGACTGTGGTCAATACTATTGACTGTGGTCAATACTATTGACTGTGGTCAATACTATTGACTGTGGTCAATACTATTGACTGTGGTCAATACTATTGACTGTGGTCAATACTATTGACTGTGGTCAATACTATTGACTGTGGTCAATACTATTGACTGTGGTCAATACTATTGACTGTGGTCAATACTATTGACTGTGGTCAATACTATTGACTGTGGTCAATACTATTGACTGTGGTCAATACTATTGACTGTGGTCAATACTATTGACTGTGGTCAATACTATTGACTGTGGTCAATACTATTGACTGTGGGCAATAATATTGACTGTGGTCAATACTATTGGCCCTGTTCAATACTATTGGCCCTGGTCAATACTATTGGCCCTAGTCAATACTATTGGCCCTGGTCAATACTATTTACTCTGGTCTATACTATTGACTCTGGTCAATACTATTGACTTTGGTCAATACTATTGACTTTGGTCAATACTATTGACTCTCGTCAATACTATTGACTTTGGTCAATACTATTGACTCTCGTCAATACTATTGACTCTCGTCAATACTATTGACTCTCGTCAATAATATTGACTCTCGTCAATACTATTGACTCTCGTCAAAAATATTGACTCTCGTCAATACTATTGACTCTCGTCAATAATATTGACTCTCGTCAATACTATTGACTCTCGTCAATACTATTGACTCTTGTCAATACGATTGACTCTAGTCAATACTATTGACTCTAGTCAATACTATTGACTCTAGTCAATACGAATGACTCTTGTCAATACTATTGACTCTTGGCAATACTATTGACTCTTGTCAATATTATTGACTCTTGTCAATACTAGTGACTCTTTTCAATACTATTGACTCTTGTCAATACTATTGACTCTGGTCAATACTATTGACTCGGGTCAATACTATTGACTCTGGTCAATACTATTGACTCTGGTCAATACTATTGACTCTGGCCAATACTATTGACTCTTGTCAATATTATTGACTCTTGTCAATACTAGTGACTCTTTTCAATACCATTGACTCTTGTCAGTACTATTGACTCTAGTCAATATTATTGACTCTTGTCAATACTAGTGACTCTTTTCAATACCATTGACTCTTGTCCGTACTATTGACTCTAGTCAATACTATTGACTGTAGTCAATACTATTGACTCTAGTCAATACTATTGACTCTAGTCAATACTATTGACCCTAGTCAATACTATTGACTCTAGTCAAGACTCCGGTCAATACTATTGACTCTGGTCAATACTATTGACTCTGGTCAATACTATTGACTCTGGTCAATACTATTGACTCTTGTTAATACTATTGACTCTGGTCAATACTATTGACTCTGTTCAATAATATTGACTCTTGTCAATTTACTAACATCTCTCCCTATAAACAATATGTGAGGCATTAATGTTGATGATGTCGATTAAAAATAATTAAGAGGAAAAAACACATCAGTGTTGCAGATTTTCACATAATGGTGCTCGGAATTTCCTCGGTATATGTAATACAAACATACTTCAATATTATAATGTGTTGTGGTGGTGGAAAGGCTTCCTTCGAGGTTAATAGAAATTGTGAATGGGACGTGATGATGACGATGTTGCAACAAGGCTGCCATCGTACTGCTGATACGAGTGGCAAAAATATGATAACGCTGATGAGTTAAAAACAAACATTGACGAGGTGCGGCAGCATGGCGTGCATAATGAATTCATTACTTAATATGGTTAAAGTGGCAGATCTGATTTTATAATTTATAAGCAGAAGGTTGAGGCATTAAGGGGGGAGAGAGAGACGATGAAAAGAAAAATAAACCACCAAGACCATAGATGCTTCATTTATAAGTTTCTTGGCAAACAAATATAATCCGGAGGGGGGTTAGTAATTCATGAAAATAATTAAATTTCGAGCAACTTCAATAAAACTATTTGTGAAAAAAACAACAGAAACCTATTTTTTTATTCTATCGATATTGATTTAGAGGGCTTACTATACAGCTGTAATTGGATTTTCGTATCGAAAAAAATATTTTGTTGTTCTCGACGTAACACAATTCTAAGAACGATAAACCAAAACAAAAAATACGAAATTCAATTATAGGGGTTGTATAGACCAAAATGCTGAAGGGCAATCAGTGAGAAACTTTATATTAGCAGGCGAACGAAAAAGCCGGTTAGGTCCATCTGTTGACACTGATCTGGAGGACCAGATTATGAGCTGAAGGGAGAGTTGATGTGGTCTATATAAGGATTCGTCCCTTCGACTCCTGGTTGAGGAGCTGAAAGGTCAGTGGGTTTATACAACGATGAGGGATTGAAGAATCTTAAAAATCAGCGATGCTATATAAAAACTAGGTGTTGATCTGAAGTCTATTGAAGCTTAAAGCTGAAGGATCGGAAAGAATATAGTGCGTCTTAGTGTACATAATGACGGGGAAGGGCGTGGGAGCCTATGTGTTGATGAAGAGCTGAAAGCCGTGTGAGTCTATATATAGGCGAAGAGCTGAAGAAGTAAAAGGGCAAATCTTTGTCTATATATAGACGAGGAGCAGAAGGGGCAATGAGTGTTTATATAGATGAGGTTCTATACAAAGGAGGAGCGGAGGTTTGTGGAGTCATGTTTTTCTATTCTAAACCAATTGACCTTCATTTTAAAAGAGGAATCTTTCTGTTATAAATTGTTAAACAAATAAAAAACTCTTGTCACACATTTCCTCACAAATAAATCTCAATCTCTGTGACATTTTTCTGATGGCGATATTTCAACATTTATTTTCACTGCTTCACTCTATACTGCACCAACGAAGAGATTAAGTTATAACCCAACAAGAGGATACGCAACGATTTTTCACATTGCACTGAGTTCAGACTGCAATGTGTCTGATGTATGATGACATGTGTCGGCAGTAATTAATCACCATTTGCAAGAAGTGACAGATGCTACACAGATGGATATTCTCCTGCAAAGGTCAACTGATGATGGGGGTATATTTCAATTAACAACATCAGCACACATTTTTTGGAGGGTAGCTGTGAAAAATCCCTGTGGCATTATTTGCCATTTTTTCTGTCGGAAATAGGCTGACAGGTGAATGATAACACTAAATGGTGGCTCAATTTATATTTTTCACGGGATAAATTGCACAGAGGCCTTGAAAAAGTAATCTTTAAAAAATCCACGCCCTGTATAGGCCTTGAAAAAGTAATCTTTAAAAAATCCACGCCCTGTATAGGCCTTGAAAAATGAATCTTTAAAAAATCCACGCCTTGTATAGGCCTTGAAAAATGAATCTTTAAAAAATCCACGCCTTGTATAGGCCTTGAAAAATTAATCTTTAAAAAATCCACGCCTTGTATAGGCCTTGAAAAATGAATCTTTAAAAAATCCACGCCTTGTATAGGCCTTGAAAAATGAATCTTTAAAAAATCCACGCCTTGTATAGGCCTTGAAAAATGAATCTTTAAAAAATCCACGCCTTGTATAGGCCTTGAAAAATGAATCTTTAAAAAATCCACGCCTTGTACAGGCCTTGAAAAATGAATCTTTAAAAAATCCACGCCTTGTATAGGCCTTGAAAAATGAATCTTTAAAAAATCCACGCCTTGTATAGGCCTTGAAAAATGAATCTTTAAAAAATCCACGCCTTGTATAGGCCTTGAAAAAGTAATCTTTAAAAAATCCACGCCTTGTATAGGCCTTGAAAAAGTAATCTTTAAAAAATCCACGCCTTGTATAGGCCTTGAAAAAGTAATCTTTAAAAAATCCACGCCTTGTATAGGCCTTGAAAAAGTAATCTTTAAAAAATCCACGCCTTGTATAGGCCTTGAAAAATGAATCTTTAAAAAATCCACGCCTTGTATAGGCCTTGAAAAATGAATCTTTAAAAAATCCACGCCTTGTATAGGCCTTGAAAAAGTAATCTTTAAAAAATCCACGCCTTGTATAGGCCTTGAAA